GCTCCGCTCACAGAGATCCCATTAATCAGCAGTCTTCACTCCCGATCTTCACTTGATGTATGTGCATTAGCTTCTTTCCAATTATATATTTCGAGCTAATGCGAACCAGTGCGCGATTAGAGACAGCATCAGGGAGAGCCGACTTCACCCGAGGGCTTCGTGCCAAGTGCCCACACCCCTTCTTTCGAATCCGGGGGTGAATTATGGACACAGCTGGCAAGGCAGTCCCCCCATTCCCTTGGGGGGGCAAGGGAGGCTGCATACTCCCATATCAGCCTCTTAATTACCTCGTGTGGGTCGGAGAGATGTTATTGTCGGCCATCTTCCAATGCTCCACCTGGTGGCCCCCCTCCCCTCCATCCCTTTAAAAAGTGCTGCAGAATTTTTCACTTCCTGTAAATTCTGAACCAAGCACAAGGGAAGCCTTATATAGAGTGTTGCTATGACTAGTAACCATAGCTTTGCCATCTATGATTTTTTATTTTTAAAAAACTCCTTTAAAGCCATCTATATAGTGGCCAAGGGACGCAGGTGGCGCTGTGGGATAAACCACAGAGCCTAGGACTTGCCGATCAGAAGGTCAGCAGTTCAAATCCCTGCGACGGGGTGAGCTGCCGTTGCTCGGTTCCTGCTCCTGCCAACCTAGCAGTTCGAAAGCACAAAGTGCAAGTAGATAAATAGGTACCGCTCTGGCGGGAAGGTAAACGGCGTTTCTGTGCGCTGCTCTGGTTCGCCAGAAGCGGCTTAGTCATGCTGGCCACATGACCCGGAAGCTGTACGCTGGCTCCCTTGGCCAATAAAGCGAGATGAGCGCCGCAACCCCTGAGTCGGTCACGACTGGACCTAACGGTCAGGGGTCCCTTTACCTTTTATGAAGTGGTACAAGAGTGCTGTAGGGACGTGGGTGGCACTGTGGGTAAAACCTCAGCGCCTAGGACTTGCCAATCGCATGGTCGGCGGTTCGAATCCCCGCGGTGGGGTGCGCTCCCGTCGTTCGGTCCCAGCGCCTGCCAACCTAGCAGTTCGAAAGACCTCCGGGTGCAAGTAGATAAATAGGGACCGCTTACCAGCGGGAAGGTAAACGGTGTTCCGTGTGCTGTGCTGGCTCGCCAGATGCAGCTTGTCACGCTGCCACGTGACCTGGAAGTGTCTGCGGACAGCGCTGGCTCACGGCCTATAGAGTGAGATGAGCGCACAACCCTAGAGTCTGTCAAGACTGGCACGAACGGGCAGGGGTACCTTTACCTTTACCTTTACCTTTACAAGAGTGCTGTAAGCATGGGTGGAGAGCTAGATAAGGATATGAATATGCCCACAGGCTTCCTATTCCTTTTAATCGCTCTGCCAAGATTAGGTGAGGGTGAGAGAAAAATGCAGTCTTCCATATGCCCTGTGATCAGTCTCTGTGCCCATCAGGGGATCAGGTCCTTTGTCAGTTTGTTTAATTTATAATTTGGGGAGAATTCTAAATATTAAAAACCTTCTTTCCTTCTGTTTGTAAACCGAGTGAACACGTAGGACCTTCAGTAAAATGTTGCAGGGTGGCATCTTCAAATATCTGAAGGGCTGTCCCATGGGAAGCAAGCAAGCTTGTTTTCTGATGGTCTAGGGGGTAGGACCCAAACTCATGTATTCAAATGAAAGGAGGTTCCAACTAAACATTGGGAAGAACTTTATGATGGTAAGAACTGTTCGACAGTGGGAACGGACTGCCTCCTTCATTAGAGAAGTTTTTAAACAGATGTTGGATGGCCGTTTGTCAGGGATTCTTTAGCTGTGATTCCCGCATTGTAGGGGGGTGGACTAGATGACCCTTGGGATCCCTTCCAACTCTCCAGTTCTATGATTCAATGAATCCTCTTGCTTTGGGTTGCAGCCAGAGAGCCACACTGCCTTTCAGGATACTTCATTCCATTACCACCCCCCTCTGGTTTTCCACATCACAAAGAATCTGCCAGCATTCTGTGGCCATTAAGTATTCTTAGTCCTCATCAGGCTGATTTTGAGCCACTTCCCCAATTTTTAAAAATATTTTTGCAAATGTTAGGGTTTCTCAATAACCTCCCTTAAGTCTGCGGATGTTGCTATTTTGGCAACTAAAAAAAAAAAGGCATTTGGAGAATAGAGTTCATGGTTCCTATATATGATTGGCTGTCTTAAGGAATTAAGGGATATGTTGCAGAAGAAAATTCTTAACTGTTAATTAGTTGATTATCTGAATGAAATTGCCCATTTGAAGGAATCAAGGGACAACTTAATCATTAATAATGGAAATGAACCAAGAGACTGTTGTAGCCATGGCAGTAATCTTTTCCTATAGTTAATTGAATATTGCAAATTGATTTATGATCATGAAGGTTTAATTAGATTTGAGTAGTGGAAACAAGAAAGTAGATCCATATTTTGTCTCAAGGAGGCTGAAAACTGGAAAGCAAATTCAGGCAATGATGTAAATTATAGTTCTTAATTTAAAGGAAATAAAGAAATTTTGCAACCAGGATGATATTTTTAAAATGTTTTAAAATATTTTTTGCTGATTTTTTAAATATTTCTTGTAAACTGCTTTATATTGCAATAAAGTTTGTTGAAATAAAATAGGCACACAACATGGTTTCTTCCTGTTTTTCTTATACCCATAACTTATGATTTCTGTTACTCTTCTTATTTTTTTATTTTTTGTGTGTTTTCAGCACTAAACAAATAATAAACATTTTTAAAATAATAATAATAATAATGCAATGTTAAATTTAAAAGTTAAGATTTAATGTTAGCATGGTGTCAGCTTGTGCAAGTAACTGTGACAGAAGGAAACTTTAGTCTAAGACAAGCCAGATACTTTTTTTTTATTTGTCTAGGGAAGGGTGAAGAAGAAAAAAATTCTAAAAGCTGTCTTATGCAACATAATCCATCATGCTCCTTGAAACACCAAAACAAAGATACTAATGATAGGCTGCCAGGTTGAAATTCCAGTGCGAGTTGCAGAGAAGTTGAAGTACCCCCAAAAAAATAGATGCTTGTTTTTAAAAGGCATAAATGTTATGTCGTATTGACCAAATGATGAGGAAGTAGTATTTTTCAAGGCTGCAGTGTGTACACACTTTCCTAAGAGTAAGCTCCATTATACTCAGTGAGACTTATGAGTAGATGTGCGCAATTCAGAAAGTAGAAAACTGGACTGAATGAAAAGTTACAGTTGCTGGAAACTTCAGAAGTGTGTTCTATACTGTTATACAAAGCTAATGAAAACAGAGAACACTAAGGTATTGCATAAAGCATCACAGCACCACCCCAGGCATGTTTACTCAGAAGGAGTGACTCCCACTGAGTTCAGTTGGACTTACTCCCTGTTAAGTGTGTTTAGGGTTGCAGCCCTCTTGGCTGATAGTTGGAGATTTTACAATCCATAGTGTTCCCACAGTGGCTGACCATATGCCCATGGAAAGCCTGCAAGCTGGACACATGCCCACTCTGCCCATATGCAATTCCCAGCAACTGGTATTCAAAAATAGCTTTGACTTCCATGAATTTTTCCAATCCCTTTTTAAATCATCCAAGTTGCTGGTTATCGCTGACCTACTGTGGGATCGAGTTCCATAGTTTAGCTGCAGTACATGAATAAGTACTTTCTTTTATATACAGTGGTACCTCGGGTTACATACGCTTCAGGTTACATACGCTTCAGGTTACACACTCTGCTAACCCAGAAATAGTGCTTCAGGATGAGAACAGAAATTGTGCTCTGGCGGCATGGCGGCAGCAGGAGGCCCCATTAGCTAAAGTGGTGCTTCAGGTTAAGAACATTTTCAGGTTAAGAACCGACCTCCGGAACGAATTAAGTTCTTAACCCGAGGTACCACTGTATCCTGAATCTTCCAACGTGGATGTCCACGATTTCTAGCATTACGAAAGGGAGAAAAACTTTACTCTACCCACTTTCTTCATAATTTTCTAAACGTCTGTTATGTCACTTTCCCCTCACCTTTTCTCAAACTGAGAAGCCCCAACACTGCAGCCTTTCCTCATAGGAGAGTTGCTCCATCTTATTATTTCGTTTGCCCTTTGCCCTTTTCCAAACTCTTTCCAATTCCACAGTACTGCTTTTTGAGGTTGGGCAACCAGAACTGTACACAGAACTCCAAATGGGGCCACACCATAGATTTGTATAATGCCATTATGATATTGGCAGTTTTATTTTCAATTCCTTTCCTAATGATCCCTAGCATGGAATTCGCCTTTTTCACAGCTACCACACACTGGGTCAACATCTTCATCGGCTATCCTGTCTGACCTCAAGGTCTCGTTCCTGGTCAGTCATCACCAGTTCAGACCCCATAAACATGTGACCTTAAGGTTTTTTGCCCCAACATGCATCACTTTACACCTGTTTACATTGAATTCCATTTGCCATTGTACTGCCCATTCACTCAATTTGGAGAGGTCCTTTTGAAGCTCTTTTTACCATCTCCTTTTGTTTTAATGACCCTGAACAATTTAGTATCGTCAGCAAATCTGGTGACCTTGCTACTCACTCCTAACTCTTGATCGTTTATGAACAGGTTAAAGTTGCAATGCCAATCCTTGAAGGACTCCATTCTCTCTATCTCTCCATTTGGAGAACTGTCCATTTGTTCCTATTCTCTAGCTTCCTGCTACTTAACCAATAACTGATTCACAAAAGGACTTCTATTATTCCATGATGGCTAAGCTTACTCAGGAGTCTTTGATGAAGTTCCTTGTTGAAAGCTTTTTGAAAGTCGAAGCACACCTTGCCTCATCACAATCCGTGTGCTACTTCATGTAAAAACTCAGAAATGTCTTTGTTGCACCATACAGTAAAATGTAGGCCAGAGCCATTGTCCACATGATGTATTTATGTATTTGAAGTCTAAAAGCTATTTCCCAAAGTAGAGTTCACAGTGGCATTCAAAATTCAGATTGTTATGTCAGTGCAGGAAACTATTTTAAGACATCTTAACCCCCTTTTTCTTTGACCTTGACAGAAAGAAGTGTTTTTCCTTCATACTTGCATAGAATGGCTGCATACTTGAAAAGAGAGAATGGTCTAGAACAGAGCTGATACAAATATGGGAAAGAACTATTTGGATGTAACCCATCAGTTTACATGGTGACTGCAAAGTATCCTACAACCCAGCACAAAGGGAACAGGATACAGAGAGATACAAAAGGTAGGTCTACAAATGCGGTGGGTCTAAACTCTCTAGAATCCTCTTTGAAATTGAAGTTGGGATATACATCAGACAGCTTTCTGGGTCATGTGGCCAGAATGACTACACCACTTCTGGTGCAACGGGTCACTGTGACGAGTGCCCAGCACGCACGAAACACTGTTTACCCTCCTGCCGCAGCGGTACCTATTTATCTACATGAACTGCTATGCTTTTGAACTGCTAGGTTGGAAGAAGCTAGGACAGAGCAACAGAAGCTCACCCCGTCACATTCGAACAAAAAATGCCCCGGTGCCAGGATAGCACCTGATGTTTCCACCATCTGGAGGTGCATGCCTGGGGATCCATGGATCTTGACTGTTTTCCCACACTAGCAACACATCCTATAGAATTCTCTCTGTTATATTTTATCTGCACAATCAGAATGAATTTCAGGAACCAAAAAGATGTATTGAAAAATATGACTTTCAAGTCGTCTGGCCCAAAAATGGCAACTAAGCATTATGTTTTGGTGAGGTTAACCCTGGTTTAAGGAGCCATTTGGCACCTAGCTGAGTTTCTAACACTGCTTCTGTCTGCTGCATGTTGCTTTTCTTGAAATGAAACCAGCATGTCCAGACTCATGACAGCAGGAATAAACCTGTTTGGGGGTGACTCAGAGATGTTTGGAAACAACAGGAAGGCGAGCTAACAGGTTTGAATTTTGTTGGCCCATTGTGAGTAAACACGCAATTAGGAGAGGAAAGTAGCTATGTGGAGGCTTCTTGTTAACTGAAAGTTAGCTCTATAAGCAGAACCCCTTATAGTTTTGGTATATTGCCTTTACATTGAAGTTTCCTGTGTCCAGTGCTGCATTGGGAACTCCAGAATGCTTACAGCCTGTGCAGTGAGCCATTCGTGCAGGGAGGAAAGAGTGTATGACTCAATTTCCTTTGTTTTGTATAAATCCCAACAGGGAAAGGCCAAACTATAGGCTTCCTCAGCCCTCAGTCCTTGGTAAACTTGCATGACTACAGCACAAGCATATTAGTCATGCCCTTGAAATGAATAAAATTGGGTAGGCCAAGGAAGCAAAAGAACCATAATGGTAATAATGAAATTGGAAGATGACATGCTTAGCTCTAGAGTTGCGAGGCTTTCCTGTTAGTATTGGGCGCACAACCCTGTTAGTATTGTCAACCCCGGAGTGTCAGTGTTGAGACCTTGTAAGGGCTAAAAGTGATTTGTAGGCAACAGAATGTAAAAAGTGAGATAAGCCCAGTCCTAGCTTGAATCAAGGCCTTGTGTATGTACTGTATATATGCAGAAGCATCTCCAGGTAATTGGGTATCTCCGTAGACATGGAATAAACAAGACAAATTTATAATTTTTAGCAAGGATTTGATAATCCTTTAGCACTACTTCTCCTCTCCCGTATAAATTGCATTCTAAATGTGGCAGGGAGAAAAGACATGAAACTTTTTTTTTTTTGGCAGCATGACTGAAATCCATAAAACTGCTGTAGACACAAGCAACATGAAATTTGCAGTAGATTTGCTTTAATCATTGTAGTTATTTCATGCTCTCCTTTTCCTCAAATAAGGACAAGTTACCGTATTTTTTGCTCTGCAAGACTCACTTTTTCCCTCCTAAAAAGTAAGGGGAAATGTGTGTGCGTCTTATGGAGCGAATGTAGACTGCACAGCTATCCCAGAAGCCAGAATAGCAAGAGGGATTGCTGCTTTCACTACACAGCGATCCCTCTTGCTGTTCTGGCTTCTGAGATTCAGAATATTTTTTTTCTTGTTTTCCTCCTCCAAAAACTAGGTGCGTCTTGTGGTCTGGTGCGTCTTATAGAGCGAAAAATACGGTAATTCTTGCTCGTTTATATAAACAAGAGATGCATGAAGCCTTCTCTCTCTCTCTCTCTCTCTCTCTCTCTCTCTCTCTCACACACACACACACACACGGATAACCTGTACATTTGCACAAAATGTTTTGTGCTTCATTTGTGGGGGTGTGCAACTACAAGAAATCTTGCCTGGTACCAGTTGGGCTATTTAAAGATTTGTGACTCAGCTGAGGTGATAATTTGATTAAAATACTTTAAAGTCACTTAGCACCTCTTGCCCAGAAAAGTATCTAAGGTGTAAATGCCTGTTTACATCATGCAGTGTGCTTCAAACTTACGTGAGAAACCAGATGAAATCCTTCAAAGAATGAGAGCCATCTTAAAGCCCAACCCTATGTAGGTCTACTCAAAGTAAGCCCTATTTTGTTCAGTGAGGATTACTTACAAGTAAATGTGCTTTCAGCACAACCCTACAAATGTCTCTCTAAGTAGACAAATTTCTACTTAGAATATGGTCTACTGTGCATGGTGGGGTTTACTCACAGGTAAATGAGAATACAGTGGTACCTCTGATTGCGAACAGGATCCATTCCGGAGGCCCGTTGGCAACATGAAAAGAACGCAACACGCAGCTTTGCATCTGCACACGTGCGGGTTGCAATTCGCCGCTTCTGCGCATGCATGTGACATCATTTTGCACTTCTTCGCATGCGCGAGTGGCGAAACCCGGAAGTAACCCTTTCCGGTACTTCCGGGTCATCGCGGGACGTAACCTGAAAGAACGTAACATGAAGTGGACGTAACATGAGGTATGACTGTAGGATTGCATTCTTAGGCTTCAATCCTATCCTTCCTTACCTGGGAATAAGCTCTATTGAACACATTCATCTTCTGAGTTTATTCAACATGTAAGGTGGGCTAGTCCACCTCCCAAATCTCTTTCCTATTGACCTCCACAACTTTGCAAATGAGGAAAAGATAAGAAGAGTCTTGCTCAATTAGGCCAAGGGTCCATCTGGTCCAGCATCCCGTTCTCACAATGGCTGACTTGATGCCCATGGGAAACCCACAAGCAGCACCTGAGTGCAACAGCCCCTTCCCTTCTTCTACTTCCCAGCACATGGCATTCAGAGGCACACTGCCTCTTGACAGTCAAGGTAGAACATAGTCATTGTGGCTAGTAGTCTTATTTTCCATGAATTTGCTTTATCCTTCTATGGATCCATCCAAGTTGGTGGCCATCAGTACATCTTGTGGTAGCAAATTCCATAGTTTAACTATGTGATTTCCTTTTGTCTGCCCTGAATCTACCAACGTTCATCTCTATCCACATGCATAATCACACCAAAGGAGAGGCAAGTGACACATTCTAGTCAGGCAAAAACACTTGGGGTCAAGTGAGGGGGAGAGTCCAAAAGGCCAGACAGAGAGGTCTAGAGGGCCATATTTGCCTCCACCCTGCACACCTGAGGTTCCTCACTCCTATACTAAACACAGAAGGTTCTGATGCAAACCGGAAAACTAGTGCCTCTCATTTTGAAAGGCCAAGTGCTAAGTATCTGTAGGATCAAGAACAGCGTAGACCCTCATTCTGTGGCTGATTAGAGATTGTGAGTTTGGAGTTAGCATGATCTCATGCATCACATAAAACCTTTTGAGAAATTGTAGCTGAATCATTATGGTTTTCCAGTACATCAGGGTTTCTGAAGATGGTGCTGTGTTTAGAATATTTTGCCTTGTAGTTAAAACTCAGCCTTCTGGGGTTTAGGAAATGAGGTGGCCTGCTAGTCCACATAATGTTAAAGGTAAAGGTACCCCTGCCTGTACGGGCCAGTCGTGTCCGACTCTAGGGTTGTGCGCCCATCTCACTTAAGAGGCCGGGGGCCAGCGCTGTCCGGAGACACTTCCGGGTCACATGGCCAGCGTGACAAAGCTGCATCTGGCGAGCCAGCGCAGCACACAGAAATGCCGTTTACCTTCCCGCCAGTAAGCGGTCCCTATTTATCTACTTGCACCCGGGGGTGCTTTCAAACTGCTAGGTTGGCAGGCGCTGGGACCGAGCAACGGGAGCGCACCCCGCCGCGGGGATTCGAACCGCCGACCTTTCGATCGGCAAGTCCTAGGCACTGAGGCTTTTACCCACAGCGCCACCCGTGTCCCTCCCCACATGATGTTAGCTACAAGCAAATATATGGCTATATCCAACATTTATTCTGGAGCTATTCAGAAATTATGTTGGTTCACCGTTTATGTATTCATCAGTCTGTTTGAGGGCAAAGCTCTCAATTTGTAATGGGTTTTGCATAATAAAGACTGTACAATGCACCCACTGTACAGTATTTGCTGAACAAGGCATAGTCTTGCCAATCTCTGTGCATGTGTATCCTCTGCTGACGGTGTGTTTCTGAACTGTCTCTTTCAACAAATCTGTGAGGAGCTAAGCCAGCTGCTTGGTGTTTCCCTTGCTGCTGACTGCATGCCCAGGCACTTGATGTGAGAGGATTCCTTCTCACAAGAAAAGGAATTCTTGAGGCTTCAGCCTTTATGCATAGTTCCATTTAAAAGCAGAGGGTTTGGCATCCTCAGTATGTTTCATCTAACAATAAATGTTTCCCGGCAATGTTGCTGCTAAAAGCAATATATTTGGGTGTGGATCACTTCATGCCTTTGTTTTCTTGTTTACAGTAACAAAATTACCGAGTTTTAGGAACACCCAGTGTTGTGCTGTCCCCCACCCCAAAAACACTCCATGAAGTTGAAATATTGGCACAATTTTGTTTTATTTATTTATTGAATTTATATATCGCACTATACCCGCAGGTATAGCATTCATCTGTTGCCCCACATGGCTGTTTTTACAAAACATTTATCTGTTAATGCTGCGATGTCCTTCAGCAACAAATACCCCTGAATTTATAGAAAAATAATATATGGGATACAGCAATTTCTGAGCATCTCACCAGACACAGAAGGGCTATTAAAGGCATAATGAATAGAGACAGCTTCCAAGAAACATGGACCCATTTCTTTAACTATGATAATGTCAAAAATCAAAACCTTCTTATACCAACTGCTCAGTTTTCTCAGTGGACAGGTTACATTAAGTAATATGTTTGATGTTGAACGTGTAAGTGTATGTCTAGAGACAATGGATGTGGGAAAATGATTGCTTGTACATGAGAGCATGAGCAAAGTTCTTATTGTTACAGGGTGATTTCATAGCTAGAAGCATCCTTGGAGCATGAACAGCGCGTGAACAGCTCGTGCTGTCCTATATGATTGGCTAAAGTAGCATAGCCTGATCGCTCGCATGGTCTAGTACGAAGGTCCTTATCTGCTGGCTAGAACAAATTGCTTGGCTTGTATTTTGTATCTTGCTGATTTCAGACAATAAAAGCTGTGCTGCATTAGCCCTAGGAGCAGCCATATTTCGGAACCTATTATGGTGTGAGACTGATTTTTCTTTGGATGCCGAGCTGTAACTCGACAAATGGATAAAACAAAAACCAGCAGATGTGCTGCTGGATAAGTGTTTAATGGTTCTTGTATTTGTTTAAAAAAACAACCAAAAATTGTTTTTAAAATATGCACGTTGGCACATAAAAAGGAAAAGTCTTATTATTAAGGAAATGGAGAAGAAAAGTAAACCCAGACCAAAACTGTACAAAAGCACAGTATGTTAAAAATAGCAGGGTTTTAAAATACTGCAGTGGAGGGAGAAATCAACAAATAACAACTGTAATCTTCACTAATCAATTTATATAGCAGGGGTAGCCAATGTGGTGCCCCCCCCGATGTTTTAGACAACCACCAGCCCCAGTCAGCATGGCCAGTGTTCAATAATAAGTTGTAGCAGGAGAAAGGTACTGGCTTTTCTACCAGGGATGGAGAACCTGTAGCCTTCCAGGAACTGTTGGATTCCAACTCCCATCAGCCCCAGCCATCATGGTCAGCAGTGATGGGATTGTGGGGGCCATCCCTGATATATCCACAAAAAAAGTAACGGTAGACGTGTTGGCCATTAAAAGCATCTTCAGATGCAGTGTGGGAGGTGGCAGACGTTCCTGTGAGGTGCTGTGCAGATTTCAGGTTGCCTCTTGTGAAAGAGAAATGCATTGTGGCCATTTTAGTTGGCCTACTAAGGGTATTGCGCCAATACGGATTTTGATTATTCACCATTCTTCTTTGTGAAGAGCTGGCCTATTTTGCCCATTTCTTTTGAAGTTTTATTCAATGCATCAGCAAAATCCTTTGTGCTACCTATATAGATGTTCCCCCAAACTGGTAAAATGTTAACTGTGACATTCAGCCTCCAGAGTACCAAATCTCATTCTCTTTCTTGCTTGTCCAGCAATAGCACCAGCATCACTGTTGAGAGGGATCTCAGGAGGCTCCCTGTCAAGTGTAACTTTGCTCTTTCATCACCGAGAAGGACAGGGCAGGGAGGAGCCACAGTGAGGGATGGACTGTGGCTGTCCCTCATGCTTAGGACAGCCTAGTTTCTGCTTCAGTCTGTCAAATCAGTGGGCACTTCACTATCAGTAGCCCCAGCAGATGTGGGTGGCGCTGTGGTCTAAACCACTGAGCCTCTTGGGCTTGCTGATTGGAAGGTTGGTGGTTCGAATCCCCGCAATGGAGTGAGCTCCCATTTCTCTGTCCCAACTCCTGCCAACCTAGCAGTTCGAAAGCATGCCAGTGCAAGTAGATAAAGAGGTACCACTGTGGTGGGAAGGTAAACGGTGTTTCCGTGCACTCCGGCTTTCATCACGGTGTTCTGTTGTGCCAGAAGTGGTTTAGCCATGCTGGCGACACAACCTGGAAAGCTGTCTGTGGACAAACGCCGGCTCCCTTGGCCTGAAAGCGGGATGAGCGCCACAACCCCATAGTCGCCTTTGACTGGACTTAACTGTCCAGGGGTCCTTTACCTTTTTACCTTTTTAGTAACCCCAACAGTACTGTAATTATGGCAGCTGATACTTCATTTCATTTACTGGTCAGACCTGGGATTCAGGAAACAAAGTTTTGTGTAAAGTTAATGAATCATATTTAGTTAGTGATGGTTTGAGATGATCGTAAGGAACTGTAGAACAGCCCATTAGAGCTGCAGTCTTGTCAGTGTTTGTCTCATATGTGAAAAGTATGGAATTGTCTTTAATTCCCTGGCTGTATCTTCTTTCTTTTCACAGGATGAAGAGACATAAATGCTCCTCTAATTATCCAACAAGACGGCATCTCTTGATCTTGTTTTTAACAGTGTGGCTGCTCTTGCTGCTGAAACTTCTCAGAGTTGAGCTGCTCCCTCACAAAAATATTTATTTTGTAGAACCTTTTTTAAGCACCTCATCATTTGTGAAAAACAAATACACATTTTCCCAAAAAGACACCCAGTATGAGATTAACTGTTCCTCCATATACAATCAGGATCCTGTGGAGATTGGGAAATCTTTAGAGATAAGGAGACAATCCATTGTCGATTTAGATGATGAAGATGTTGTAACAATGACTAGTAACTGTCAGCTGTACCATGCAATTAGAGGATATCACCTAAAGCCCGTCTCTCTAGAAGAGGAAAAATTCCCATTAGCTTATTCTCTGGTTGTTCATAAAGATGCAATAATGGTTGAGAGGCTCATCCATGCAATATACAGCAGTCAAAATGTTTACTGTATCCATTACGACAAAAAGTCCTCTAGCACTTTTAAGAATGCTTTGGATAATCTGGCCAAATGTTTCCCCAATATTTTCATTGCGTCCAAATTGGAGGTGGTGGAATATGCCCATATTTCAAGGCTCCAGGCAGATTTGAATTGCTTATCTGATTTGCTTAAGTCCTCCATCCCATGGAAGTATGTAATCAATTTATGTGGCCAAGATTTTCCTCTGAGATCGAACTTCGAGCTAGTGTCTGAATTTAAGAAGTTAAATGAAGGAAACATGCTGGAGACAACCAAACCGAGTAGCAGTAAAAAGGATAGATTTACCTATCACTACGAACTTCAGAAAATGCCTTATGACATGAAGATGCCTGTGAAAACCAATATCTCTAAGGACCCGCCACCCCACAATATAGAAGTTTTTGTAGGCAGTGCCTATTTTGTGTTATGTCGAGCTTTTGTACAGCATGTCCTAGAAAGCTCCATTGCTCAAGATTTTTTTGAATGGTCAAAGGACACTTATTCGCCTGATGAACATTTCTGGGCAACCCTTGTTCGTGTTCCTGGAGCACCTGGAGGGATTTCAAGGACAGCTCAGGATATCTCAGATCTTCAGAGCAAAACTCGTTTAGTAAAATGGAATTACCTTGAAGACCATCTCTATCCTCCCTGTACTGGTACACATCTCCGTAGTGTGTGCATCTATGCAGCTGCAGAATTGAGGTGGCTTATAAACTATGGGCACTGGTTTGCTAATAAATTCGACTCAAAAGTGGACCCAGTTTTAATAAAATGTTTGGCAGAAATGCTTGCAGACCAGCAGAAAGAATGGGTTGAGTTGTCTTCTGAGAAACTTTTTATGCACAGGACATTTACAGATGTCTCATAACAATATAGCATACCTATGGTTGGACTTCTGCCATTTTTTAAAATGTGGAATTGCTGGATTGAGCCATATCACTCCTTGGAATCACTCCTGAAAGCATCTCTCTGACCTGTCTCAGTGGAATTCTAGTACACTGCTAATACGTGCAATGAAATGCAAGGCTTGTTTAGATCCTTGGAGCAGAGGTAGGATCGTGGGAAGTGAGAGGCACTCTACAGCAATTCAATAGACCAAGAAGGGCCCTGGCTTAATCGGGTGGTTCTCAATACTTTTGAACTCGGCACCCCTTTACAAATTTACTCTGCTTTCTGCCACAGTGAAACCCAAACCGTTGACCAACACAAGATAGTTCTTGCATGTTGTCATATGTGTGCATGTTGCATACAAGGATCTATAGACAAGGAGTACCAATCCAAATCCAGCATTAGAAGAAAAAAGAAGAGGACAACTCTGACCACGCCTACTCCAAACTATGCGCAGGGACGCATAGGTGAAACAAAGCAACCGCTATTTCCAAATCAGGTTAGGATGGTGATGTACTGTAGAACAGTCACATCCACAAATTGAATGAAGCACAGTCCCCTGCTAGGGCCATTCAACCCACCCAGGTCTTTGCTACTGACTGTAGGAACAAGCGTCACATCTTTCTCTTAAATTCACCCCCTCCAGGTGGAGAACACCTCATAGGTTGATAAATGCTGGCTTAACCCATATAAGGCACTGTGTCAGATTCTGCTCATTATTATGCCTATACTGAGCCTTCATTATCTTTTACTTCGTGTGGTCATTTGACTATTCCTATGCAAAGTGATTGTAAAATGTTACCAAATCAATTGCCTCTTTGTTAAACTTCTGTGCCATGCCTTTGATAGATGATGTTATTATTTAAGCTGTTGTGTCCTTCGAAGCTGGCTGAGTAGCTTTGGAATAGTGTTTCTTGGTGCTCATGCTCCTTATGAGCATGCTGTCTACAAGGTGGTCAAAAAAGATGCACACCACAGTACAGTGGTACCTCTGGTTATGAACTTAATTCGTTCCGGAGGTCCATTCTTAACCTGAGGTACCACTTTAGCTAATGGAGCCTCCCACTGCCGCCGCACAATTTCTGTTCTCATCCTGGGGCAAAGTTCTTAACCCAAGGTTAGCGGAGTCTGTGACCCGAAATGTTTGTAACCCGAGGTGTTTGTAACCCGCGGTACCACTGTATAGTACAGTAAAATGTTTAAATCGTAGTCTAACGGTGAGGTTCTTGTGGTGAGCATCTCTTTGAGCCAACTTGTATATATATAATTCAGCATGCATCTTCCCTGTGCAATAATAATTCTTGCCCAGAACTTGTACAAGTGTTTTATTTCACGACATGATATACTTGTAACTGTTCAGTTATAGGGGATACAGGTATCTCTCTTCTAGCTTCTGCCACCATTGCTGGAAATCCAGCATGCAAGCTGCAGTTTGACTTTTAAATGTAATTCCCTTACTAGCACTGTTACTGTTGCTGAGATTCTATGCGTGAGATAGTGTACCACTGTCACGGGCATCTGTTAAGATGGTGCATGGAAACAGCGCTGATGACAAGATTCACTTCTTAGCCAAGCCTGTGAAAATCTTGTTAGGAGTTCTTAGGGTTTAGTTTATTTTTGCGTACTGTTTTTATACAGAGTGCTTATATAGTCAAAAGTTGCAAACAGGAGCAAGGATTCGTTCTCTCCTCCTTTAACTTTGTTTCTTTGAAAGATATACGCTCTCCTCTCAATTTTACCTGTCTCATCAAAGGATCCTCCCTCCATCAAAGTTACTTCTTTCTCCATTGTGTTCATTTAGGTTTCTTGGATAAACTTAATATCCTTGTACTATGTTTCCTGTAATGTAGGTGCACGATCTGGTCTAGAGAAAGCATAGCAATAAAGATGAAGTTACTCCCATTTTTAACAGCAATAATAATTATCTATAACAGGCATAGGCAAACTCGGCCCTCCAGATGTTTTGAGACTACAATTCCCATCATCTCTGACCACTGGTCCTGTTAGCTAGGAATGATGGGAGTTGTAGTCCCAAAACATCTGGAGGGCTGAGTTTGCCTATGCCTGATCTAGATTCTCCTACAAAAAACCCCTCTTGTTTTTCTTTAAAAATGAATGTTCACATAAATGTTTTGAAACCCCCACCCTATGATATAATATAGCACCAATATGAATAGTGACAGAAATAAAAAAATATGCATAAGACAATCAGGAAATGAAATCTACAGCACAGGGAATAAAATAAGTTGTCATACAAATAAATTATACCATTTATGGATCAATGGTAAATAAGGCTTGGTCTGGTGGACACTTCGAAAATAAGGCCTCCAAGAACCAGTGTATGTTGCAGAACAATGGGTACAATCTGAGTTCCCTCAGCATTAAAAAAAATGTGTTTGAGAGATAGATAGCTTGCCTAAGAGCAATAAGAAATCAATTGGACCCCTAGCTGGAACTGGGGTTTTCCATTTAAGGCGAAACCTTTCTGTGTATTTTCTTTATCATAATTTTATTTTGGGCTGATTATTAGGTTTTAAAAGCCAAATTAATACAGTTTTCATCTGCTTGTGCCATAATTTTGTGTAGCAGTTACTCAATGAGTAATGGTTCATTCTGTCCACTCTTCTTCCAACCCTCCAGGTAGAACATGGTAGCTATTAAAGTACAGTCAATGATGATATTGTTACTGAGATTGAGACAGATCCAGAGCTGTACTGCAACAGACAGGGGTGTTTGTAAACCTTGGAAGGTATGGAAACCAAACCACCAGGAGCTGGAACATATTCCTTATGAAGAAGAAAAGCGACTATAGAGGTACATGAAAAAGATTTGCAAAATTATGTGTGGTGTGGAGAAACTGTGAGGGTTTTCGCCTATACTAGATTTTGAACCCGGTTGAAACCGATTGGCAGGAGAATCAGGATAGACAAAGGAAATTAGGTTTTTGACACTGCACCTCATTAATTTATGGAACTTGCTGCCACAATATGATGTCATGGTCAGTAGTTTAGTTGCCTTTGAAAGGGGATTAGACAAATAAATGAAGCATAAGTCTATCAGTGTCTATAAAGATCCTTGATAGCTATGGGCACTTTTTAAGAGGAAATAAAGTATGCCAATGAATACCAGGTGCTTCAAGCAAAACCAGGAGAGGACAGTTTCTTGCTTGTCACCTCAGCCTAGTCATTGTAGAAAATGAGATGCTGGAATAGATGACTTGGCTAATTCAGCAGGAATCTTGCAGAGTACAACTATGTATAGTGTTACTTACTGGATCACACGAGAGAGAGAGTACCTTTACAGGAGCGACTTCAGCCACAGTGTCTTAGGTATGCTTCATATGGATGGGTGGAGAAATACATGCCACGCCAGCAATTTATTCAAACGGTTTGCCACTGTAGACAATGAGCTCACTGTATGAAGCTTTCAGTTTTCAAGAAGCCTCCTGTTACATACTGCTCTTTGCAGGGCCACTCTTGCCCTCCTTCTGTGGCACAAATAGGTTAGAATCTGAGAAACATTTCTGTGTGTGCATTTTTCATGATAAATTGAAGAGGAGGAGGTTAAGTGTACCCAGTGGCGTAGCGTGGGGGTGCAGGGGGGGCCGGCCGCACCGGGCGCAACATCTGGGGTTAGGGCAAATCCATGGGTTAGGGGGCGCAAATCCACGGGTTAGGGGGCGCAAATTACTTGCCTTGCCCCGGGTGCTGACAACCCACACTACGCCACTGAGTGTACCTTCTCCATGCACCAAATCTCAGCCATTCACATGGCATGAGTTGAACCCAGCTGCCAAGTGACTTGCTGGGGTTGTGTTTGGGGAAAGGGGGCACGTTTAATCCTCCCCCCTTTTAATTTCTCTTGAAGACCAATAACCTTTTGCACTCAGAGCAGTTGCCTGTGTCTGAGGCACATCCCTTGCACTATTAAGCCGACTTGGAGGGAAAAGGCAGGAAGCAGCCTCCAAGTTATGGTGCCTACCCTTTGCACAAACAGATCAAGAGGAAATGGAGAGCAGGAGAAAAAGTCATTTTCTCTCTTTCAGAGGGAAAAATGGATAAGGGTGGTTTTAGTCATGCACTCTACGAAACAGGTAAAGTACCATGTTTATTGGATTATTTAAATAAAACAAATCATTGACCTCATAAAAAAGTATTCCTTTGTCTCCTCTGTATCCCCTCCTGAACTCCAGAACTAACAAAATAAACACAGAGGGTTTGCCACAAAGAGGATCTTATTTTGTACACATGGAGCTAGATGTCTGCTGCATGGCTCATGCAGCAAATACACTGCAGGTGTATTTGCACCTATAAGCCATTGCCTCTATAGAGTGGTCTGTCTTACCTTTGAGAAGCCTTGTGCTCAAATAATCCTACTAGGCTAAGTGGAAATTGTATGCACCCCTCAAGACTGATTCCATAGCCCCTCTTCTATTTCCATGCTTTGTTTTCTGAGAGTCCCCTAAAGAATTTAGTGCAGCAGGTGCATAGACATAACACAACTTTTACTCATAGCTGTCAACTTTCCCCTTTTCTTGCGAGGAATCCTATTCAGAATAAGGGAATTTCCCTTAAAAAGGGGAAATGTTGACAGCTATGCTTTTACTTTAACTCAAACATTGGATAAATCAACCAGTATAGTTTTCAGGAATTGCTCAGGAGATGGTGAAAGCTATTCATTGCGCAGATGACGACAATCAGGGCTATTCTGCAGGAATTGTGACAAATGGTGGCAGTTTGGAAAATAACACACCTAGTTCTCTCTAAGGAGTGCGTTTTTGTATGTGAGGTGAAGATAAAATGTCAAGCTTCTGAGAATTTTTACGCTGAGATCATCTTGCTGTTGTGCAGCATTTGGTGAACGTTGGCCTTGTTCAGGATTTTACCTGGATATTATTGTGGAAAATAATTGTAAATGCCAAAATAAATCTGATGTGAATGTGATGTTGCCTACAAATGTGAGTTGATTTCTCTTCTTGGCTCTTTATACAGGCATAGATAATGGGAGCCCCTACAAACTCAGTGTTTTGTGCTTTCCCAGAATCTACTACTTACATCCAAATACTCACCCATAAGGTTCCTATCACATTGGAAATCTCAAAGGCCTATTAATAATGCTAATTCTAAGCTTTTTTTGTTTCACTTTTAAATGCACAAGTGAAAAACACAACTAATGGGTAGATAATACTCCATTCACCCCTTGCTCTCCCTTGCATTTTTCTGTTAGTTGCCTCTGAGAGCTAACTCAGAGGAGGTAACTCACAGTGGGGTCCATTGGCCGCCACCTCTATTAGTTCATTCAGTTGGGGAAATTCCTGGATTGAGCTGGCTTGCAGCCACATTGGTGGCCAGTCCTTCTATAAGCCAGCCATTCATTCCAGGATAATGCCGTTAAACAGATCTGCACAGTTTGAATACTGTGTACAACTCTGGTCACCTTGCCTCAAAAAGGACATTGTGAGGTGTGAAAAGGTTCAGAAAGGGGCAACCGAAAAGGTCAAGGAGATGGAGCCAGTCCCGTAAAAGGGAAGGTTGCAAACATTTGGGGTTTTTTAGTTTAAACAGAAAGGGTGATTAAGAAGTAACTTGAAAGAAGTACAGTATATAAAGCAATGCATAGATAGAGAAAAGGTTTTATCTCTTATGTTGCTAGAGCTTGTGAACATCCAATGAAGATGAATGTTGCAAGATTCAGGACAGATGAAAGTACTTATTCACACAGTGCCTAGTTAAACTATGGAACTCACCAACTTTAAATGATTCAACAAATTCATCGAGGTAAAGGCTATCAGTGGCTGCTGAGCAGGGTGGTTATCTTCTGCTTCCGCGGCTGGAAGCACTATGCTTCTGAATACCAGTTGCTGGAAAACACAGGAGAGGAGAGACCTGTTGTGCTCAGGTCCTGCTTGCCAGCTTCCCACAGGTACCTGGTTGACCACTGTTGACCAACAGGATACTTGACTAGATGGGCCACTGGCCTGATCCAGCAGGCTCTCCTTACGTTCTTTGTTGTTGTTGTTTAGTCGTTTAGTCATGTCCGACTCTTCGTGACCC